GGTATTAGCCTGAGGAGGGACATGAAAGGGACTGCAGGATACCCAGAGAGTTTAGCCTGGCAACAGTGGGTGAAAGGGTCAGGAGGGAGGAGGACTCAACCTTGCTGAAGGTGGCCATGAGGATGAAAACTTTTTGAGAACGGATACAGGAAATAATGGCAAAAGAGGAACTCTTTGGTATGTTGGCAGTAGAGAAGTGAATCGGGAGCCTGACAGGGAAAATTCCCTTCTTCCTCTTCAGTAAGTAGCATTTATTGCCCTGAAACCACGCACTAAATACTATAAGGAAGAGGAGGAAAAGGAAAAGGGAATCTTCACTGAGGAGGAACAGAACCAAGTCTTCGTATTAGCCATAGTAGAAAGCAATGGGGAATAGAGAGTTCTGGTTGGTTTTGTTTGTTTGTTTGTTTTCTTTTTAATGAGGAATTTGTCTTGTGGTTTCAGTATGAAATTCATGGGTACAGTGATTTGTTTTGCTCACCTTTCTCTGTTTTCTTTGGGGAAATGGTGATACTCTTTGTCAGTGATCCTATCTGAAACACTTATGATATTAGATAATTTACTCATTTGCACAATGAATTGTATTTCAGTTGACTCTTGAATAATTTGGGTTAGGTGTGCCAATCCCCTATGCTGTAAAAAAAATCCATGTTTAATATTTGGATCCCTCAAAACTTTATTAATAGCCTACTGTTGACCAGAAGCCTTACTGATAACATGAACAGTCAACTAACACACATTTTATATATTATATGTATTATATACTGTATTCTTAAAGTAAACCAGAGAAAAGAAAGTGTTGTTAAGAAAGTCAAAGCTGGGCACAGTGGCTGTCACCTGTAATCCCAGCACTTTGGCAGACCAGGATGGGAGGATTGTTTGAAGCCAGGAGTTTGAGACCAGCCTGGGCAATATAGCAAGACTCTGTCTCTACAAAAAATAAAAAAATTAGGCAGGTGTCTTAGTGTATACCTGTTGTCCCAGCCACTCTGGAGACTGATATAGGAGGATTGCTTGAACTCAAGAGTTCAAGGCTACAGTGAGCTATGTTTGTGCTACTGTTGTCCAGCCTGGGTGACAGAGTGAGATCCCGTCAAAAGGAAGGAAAGGAAAGAAGGAAGGGAGGGAGGGAGGGAGGGAGAGAGAGAGAGAGAGAAGAGAGAAAGGAGGGAGGGGAGAGGGAAGGAAGGAATGAATAATCAGAAGGATGAGAAAATACATTTACTATTCATTAAGTGGAAGTAGATTGTCATAGAAGTCTTCATCCTCTTCATCTTCATGCTTAATAGACTGAGGAGGAAGAGAAGGGGCTGGTCTTCCTATCTCAGGGGTGGCAGAGGTAGAAGAAAATCCTGGTAAAAGTGGACCTGCACAGTTCAAACCCATGCTCTTCAAGAGTCAACTGTATTCATTTGTGATGATATTCATTTATTAAGTCAAACACTTTCACTTCATTATTATGATATTATTTATCAAATTAATCATTGTGAAATTATGTTATTTATGAAATCGAATACTTTAAAAGAATATGTATGAGGTTAAATTAAATGAGTTGAAATGATATGGCCCAGAGAAACAAAAGGTGAACTATAGTAAATTAATGAAAACTTAGATTTAAATATGTAGCTTTAGATTTGTCAGTATCAAAAATATTTAAAATATTCAGTCTGGGTGCAGTAGCTCACGCCTATAATCCAAGCACTTTGGGAGGCCGAAGTGGGAGAACTGCTTGAAGGCAGGAGTTCAAGACCAGCTGGGAGAACATAGTGAGATTCCTTATCTACGAAGAAATAAAAAAATAAGCCAGGTGTCATGATGTGCACCTGAACTCCCAGCTACTTAGGAGGCTGAGGCAGGAGGATTGTTTGAGCCTCTAGGAGTTCAAGGCTGCAGTGAGCCATGATTGTGCCACTTGAATTCCAGCCTTGGTGACAGTGCAAGACCCTGTCTTCAATAAATAAACTTCAGATACAATAGAAACAGTTGTTAGAGATTAAAGAGAAATGGTAGTTCTCTAGTCCTCTGTGATCAGATTTATAAATAGTATATCACACACAATATGTTAATAAGGTATGATATAAACAGGTCCTCCAGAGAGGAATGGACACCCCAGAAAATAGCTTCCTGATCACCTTTGCTGTTTTTCTTGATTCTTATTTTTCAAGAAAGTACATGACAAACAGCAGTCTATAAGAATTTCCCTAGCCTGGGCAATATGGTGAAACCCTGTCTCTACAAAAAATAAACAAAAAGTGGCCAGATGTAGTGGCATGTACCTGTAGTCCCAACTGGCTGGGAGGCTGAGGTGAGAGGATTGCTTGAACCTGAGAGGTCAAGGCTGCAGTGAGTCGTGATCACACCATTGCACTTCAGCTTTTCAGCTTGGGTGACAGAGTAAGACCCTGTCTACAAAAAAAAAAAAAAAAAAAGGCAGTTTCCTAGGATTCTAGGATTCACAGTTTTTCTTTTCTGTTTCAATTTAATGTACCACTTAAAGAGGACTGAAGCTGAGGTGGCAGAACAGAGACAGGAAACGTTGCTTAGTGAGTAGGGAAAAAATGTTGGAACCCAGTGCATATTTCTCCTTATTCTGCATCTAGGTGAGGGAACCTTGAAGATTCCCTCACCAGCCTTCTCATTCAGTCCACCCAAGCTGGCATCTGCCACCCTAGTTCATACAGTCAGACAGAAGTGAGGTTTTAGTCAGGCTTGCTGCTGGTTTGGGCCCAATTAAAGTCGAATTTCTAATTCCTGGGAGCTGTTGTTAAACGCTGGCAGGGAGATAAGAAGAGGGGAGGAAAATTCCTAGCTAAAAGCAGGAGAGGTGGTTTTTATTTTACTCAGCAGACTCAGCTGAGCCATTGGGTCACAGGAGGGATGGGGACAGAGGGACACCTAGTTTTAAGTCTTATTATGGAAAAGATTGAACTATCATCAGTGCTTGATGGAAATGAGACCAGGAGAGGTGGCAGCAGTGTCGCTAACAGCACTGCCTCCCTTATTGCATTATCAGAAGAGAAAGATAACCTGCAAATAGGCATCCATTATCTCTTTCTACAAAGGGATTAGTGTGGGTTGCAAGAAATTAATGGCTTTTGAGTTACCATAGAAATACTAATAAATGTCAGGACCAGAGATGTAAAGCAGATAAAACTGGCTTTTCTCAGCCTCATTTCTCTCCTTTTCTCTTTTGGTTTGCTATTTTAAGATCTAGATCTGTATTACTCTTTTTTTTTTCGTTAGCCAAAAGCAGAAATCATACCCTTTGGCAGTATAATTTATCTTCTTTAGGGAATGACTCAATTACTTTATGATTGTCTCCAATGCGTGTGGGCAAAGAGATTGAGAAAAATCTCTACCAGGGAAGAGATTGACATCTCTCACATGGGTGTCATTTTCATGTCTGATAAAAATGTCCAGAAATCTCTCAAGTGATAGTCCTCTTTTATTAAGTACTAAGCTAGTATATATTGCAGCTAGTCATTGATTACAGATTACATGACTAGAGGGGAAGGGAGAAAAGAAGATAGGAGGGGAATTATACCTACTATTTGGTGAGCATTTTGCTAGGTGCTTTATTTATTTCTAATTCAGCGAGTACACCTACTATGTACAAGGCAATGTTCAATGTGCTGTGGTCTAAGAATGAAAAGAGAGACCTTACCCTGGCCCTCAGTGGAGCTGAGTGTCCAGCAGGAAAGACAGCCTTAAAAAACAACAACAAAAACTGCAAGACTTATTTTATTTGTTCAGACATGTAAATAAGCTATTATAATACAGCCTGACAAGAGCCCATGATAGAAGAATGATTTAGTAGCAATACCTGATAGTGACTCAGGCATGCATGCACGTGTCTAGGCGACGTTGGGAGAATCAGGACAGACTTTCTTTCTGAAAAGGGTAAGTGTACAATTGCTGATTGAAGCCTTTGCAAGGAACATTGCAAGCTCAGGGGACAGCATATACACGGTCAGGCTCAGAGAGAAAACTGCATCTAAGCAGAGACCTAAAAAGTGAGCTAGTTGGGACAAGCCTGGAACTCTGGTTAACTACACAGAAGGCCCATGAACTGGCCTTGAGGGCTGCAGAAGGTATCTGAGAAATGAGTTTGTGAGCAGCACATTTTATGCTCTCTCCTATCCATTGACCCTGCCTCGCTTTACCAACCTGATGAAAGATAAGAGTGTTAGCAGGGAGTTAGGTCCTGTGGCAGAAGGCATGTTCTCTCTTGTGTATTTGGTACTGTTAGGTTGCTGCAAAAGTTATTGCGGTTTTTATCACTAATGGTAAAAACCGCAATAGCTTTTGCACCAACTTAGTAGAATGTTACCTAGAAAACATGGAACCCTGGCAAAGTGTGATTGGTTCCTAGATTCATAAGGCACAGCTAGTCACAATTATTCCAGTATTTCTGTTTTTCACACAGACTCTGCGTGTCACATTGTTGTTGCATGTTCCATGCCACATGGTTACTCTTGTACTTGTGATTCCACCCTAGTTCAAGTTTTTATTTTTATTTTATTTTTAAGGCAGGGTCTTGTGTGTCACTCAGGCTAGAGTGTAGCGGCATGATTATAGCTCACTGCAGCCCCAACTTCCAGGCTGAAGCAATCCTCTTACCTCAGCCTCTTGAGTAGCTAGGACTACAGGCATGTGCCACCATACCCAACTAATTTTTAAAACTTTTGTAAAGATGGGTTCTCACTATGTTGCCTGGCTGGTCTCGAACTCCTGGGTTCAAGAAATTCCCCCCTAACTTGGCCTCCCAAAATGCTGGGATTAGAAGCATGCGCCACCACACCCAACCTCCTAGTTAAAGTTTTTAGAAGTGAGATTTCCCCAGCTACTTTTTGCCAGTTAGGTACCATCTTGGGATTTTACTACTTTTACTTTGTTTAATTTGAACCAGAAGACTGTCAATCCCTGATCTGTTTGGTTTCTTGTGCCTGCCTTCTTATAACTAATTCTAATGAATACTTTGCCTCTCTTTTTCTTTCTAGAACACAAGCAGACATTCCCAAACATCCTAAAGAAGGGTTACCTGGAGGTTAGAAAGGACCATGACAGTTACTGGCAAAGCTGTTACGCAGAACTTTCACCTTACAACTTATACTTCTACAGCCTCGACAGCAGTGGGAATCAAAACCTCTATGCCACGTACCAGCTTTCACACTTCCAGAGCATATCTGTTTTAGGCAACCTGGAGGCCAGGATGGTGGATACAGTTCTATATGACAACACTCAGCTACAGCTAAAGGCAGAGTCACCATGGGAGGCTTTGGACTGGGGGCAGAAGCTTTGGGAAGTCGTACATGCTGCTGTGCCTGGTTACATGGGGCGGCAGAATGAGCTGAGAATCTCACCAGGGCTTGGCCATCATGATGACTATACACAGAATCATTGTTTACAGAAGAAAGCCAGTGGGCTGCTGCCACCGTCCCCTGTCCTGGATAGCCCCAAACAGTACCAGAACATCCTCAAATCAGGAACTCTTTACAGGCTGACTGTTCAGAACAACTGGAAGGCATTTACGTTTGTGCTGAGCAGGGCCTACCTTATGGCTTTTCAGCCTGGCAAGCTAGACGAGGATCCACTGTTGAGCTACAACGTGGACGTGTGTCTGGCAGTCCAGATAGACAATCTGGATGGCTGCGACTCTTGCTTTCAAGTCATTTTTCCCCAGGATGTCCTTCGCCTCCGAGCTGAGACCCGGCAGAGGGCTCAGGAATGGATGGAGGCTCTGAAGACAGCTGCCAATACAGCGAGGAGTTCAGAGCAAAACCTGCAAGTCACACTGAGGAACAAACCCAAGGATCAAATGGGTGGGCATGAACTCAGGAAGAACAAACGCCAGTCTGTGACTACCAGCTTCCTGAGCATTTTGACGACTTTGTCTTTGGAACGAGGACTCACTGCTCAGAGTTTCAAATGTGCAGGTATGAAGCAGATTTTCAGCCTAAAGCTCATTAAAGAATAAACCTGAATCCCACAATTGTAATTCACTGTAAAAATCCCCTTAATGTGCTAGTCACAGCTACCTCCTGTTTATAAAAAGCATCTCTCCTCGAGGAGCTCACTATATTAAAGCATCCATCTCTCCCTATCTCATGTCGTTGAATTAAATAGAACCAGCCATGATATACCCTATTAAATCAAAATCACTTGGCCAAAGCCTAACCAGACTAGAATTTAGGCTTCCTGAGTCGGCTGTGATTCTTTTCCCTCTGCCTTCTTGAATAAAGGTCACTATGAATATAGATGTCACAAATTATGTCATAAGAGACATTCAAGTCCAAAGCTGACTACTTAACACTCCTTAGGCAAGGAAAATGGCCACAGTCAGTAACTGTCATTGATCTTGACCTTGTCAGATCCTCTTAAGGTGAAATCTAGAATATCAGTCTTGACAGAAAATGTGGAGGTAGCTAAAAGCGGGATAGATGATGATTCAGCAGATGACCGCTGAGTCACAATGGGCCTGTGCCCATTGTAGGGAAGCTCAGGGCTTCTGGAACTGCTGTATAAGGATGAGATGCAAAGTGGAATTTGAGGTCAACAATCTTACCTTGTAAAAGGTTATTACTGCATCCTTCCTCTACTCCCATTCCACCTTTCCAAAAAGAGTAAAATAAATTAAAAAAAAATTGTGCCAGGCACAGTGGCTCATACCTGAAATTCCAGCACTGTGGGAGGCCAAGGTAGGTGGATCACTTGAGGTCAGGAGTTCAAGACCAGCCTAGCCAACATGGTGAAACCCCATCTCTACTAAAAATGCAAAAATTCACCAGGCGTGTGGTGTATGTTTGTAATCCCAGCTACTTGGGAGGCTGAGGCAGGAGAATTGCTTGAACCCAGGAGACAGGTTGCAGTGAGCCAGGATCGAGATCATGCCACTGCACTCCAGCCTGGGCAACAGAACATGATTCCATTAAAAAAAAAAAAGAAAAAAGAAAAGATTTTAAAACATCATTAAGGCCAGGCACGGTGGCTCACACCTGTAATCCCACCACTTCAGGAAGTTGAGGCAGGTGGATCATAAGGTCAGGAGTTCAAGACCAGCCTGGCCAAAATGGTGACACCCCATCTCTACTAAAAATACAAAAAATTAGCCAGATGCGTTGGTGGATGCATATAATCCCAACTACTCGGGAGGCTGAGGCAGAGAATTGCTTGAACCTGGGAGGCAGAGGTGGCAGTGAGCCATGATCGCATCACTGCACTCCAGCCTGAGTGACAGAGCGAGACTCCATCTCAAAAAAAAACAAAACAAAACCCTCACTGAACCCAATCTAGCTATCTATCATAAACTAAATCAAATGGTTTTCCTTTCATTAAACCCCACAATTTGTGACATTAAATTTATCATGAGAATGGCTTTAAATGGAAACCTGATTTGGAAGGCTTTAATTCAAGTCTATTAGATTTAAGTATGTTGTTAAAAATGAACAAGAAGCTCACCACCAGCCAAAACCAAATTCGAAATTTTGTCCTTGCTCCTGTATTGAAAAAAGCCAAGTAGGAGTGGCACATTGAAAACCCACATTTTGAACTTAGGTTAGTTATGATGCTGGTCTTTTCTATTGGAAAATAAATTACCCAACGTGAGGATTGAGTGAATCATCCTTGTTTTGACCCAAGGGCCTCAGTGACTGTGGACCAGAAACTTGCAGGATGGGATTGGAGAGATCAGAGACGCTGAGCCAGTTAAGAAGCTCTGCTAGGAGGCCGGGCGCGGTGGCTCACGCCTGTAATCCCAGCACTTTGGGAGGCTGAGGCGGGTGGATCACGAGGTCAAGAGATCGAGACCATCCTGGTCAACATGGTGAAACCCCGTCTCTACTAAAAATACAAAAATTAGCCGGGCATGGTGGCGCGTGCCTGTAATCCCAGCTACTCAGGAGGCTGAGGCAGGAGAATTGCCTGAACCCAGGAGGCGGAAGTTGCAGTGAGCCGAGATCGCGCCATTGCACTCCAGCCTGGGTAACAGGAGCGAAACTCCGTCTCAAAAAAAAAAAAAAAAAAAAGAAGCTCTGCTAGGTTATATGTATGTTTCTGCAGGTGTGAAAGACCTGTGTTAAGTCACCCAGTACTTTTGGAAAATGGTTTTGAAATAAAGAGATACTAGTTTTAGCAGTTTTTTAAAACAATAGAAATCACTGACATTTCAGTGTCTTATACTAGTACATATATTTTTAAGTTCAGGCATTCAATAATAATTTACTGTGTGCTTACTCTGGACATCCTGGAATTATGGTACACTTCCATGGCTTTAGATTCCAGATGTGCTCAGCAAATCTGTTGCATTATTGGAGTAAGGAAGAATAGCTCAGCTTAGTTCTCAAGATGTGGAGATTGGAGTAGCTGAATCAAGAAACTTTCTAGTAAAAGAGGGAAGAAAAGCCTCAGATATTTCATAGGAGGTATTGCCTAATTCACCTTCCTCTCAGAAGTTTGCCTTCTGATGGAGTGTGCATTGCCCATGCTCGGCATTTCTGACACTCATGAGGAAGGAGAAATGTAGGTAGAGGGTACCATGCAGCAAGCTCATCACATCTAGCAGCTGGAGAAGTGAAATCAGGAAAAAAAGAAAGGTGAGCAAGAGAGGGAGAAGAAAGCTGAGTAGAAAAGAGGAGGAAACATTATATAAGGGGCAGGAATAGAGCTTTCTGGCAGCTGCCTTAGTTAGGTTCCATATGATAGGATACCTCCCTTTGCTGTCTAAATTTTGTGCTCACTAAGGCTGGTGGAGGATAGGTTTGGTAAGGGTAGTAGTAGGGAATCGGGAGGAAGGTAGTCTAAAATTACTTTGCACTGCTCAACTTTCACCTTTATGATTTGGTTCAGAGTTCTAATGAATGGGGCAGAGAGAGACAGGTTTCTAATTTGGGACAGGGAGAAGTCAGTCTTAATTTATATAATGTGGCCCATTACAAAAAAAAGAAAAGCTGTTTCATTTATATGCCCCTTCTTCTCTCAGAAAGTGCTGCATTTCAGTTGCTTTGTGATACTTGTGGTTACCAGGTTGTTTTTCAAATCAGCACTTAAAGTCTGGTTTTCTTTCCTTTTTTTTTTTTTTTTTTTGGTGAGATGGAGTTCTGCTATTGTTGCCCAGGCTGGAGTGCGATGGCGATTTCGGCTCATCACAACCTCTGCCTCCGGGGTTCAAGTGATTCTCCTGCTTCAGCCTCCTGAGTAGCTGGGATTAGAGACATGTGCCACCACACCCGGCTAATTTTGTATTTTTAGTAGAGATAGGGTTTCTCCATGTTGGTCAGGCTGGTCTCCAAGTCCCAACCTCAGGTGATCCGCCCACCTCAGCCTCCCAAAATGCTGGGATTACAGGCGTGAGCCACCGCACCCAGCTTAACTCTGGTTTTCTAGGTTAGAGTACTTTATTTCCTGATCTCCTGTAGGGGGCAGAGTCTCAAAAGAAAAAGGCAAAAGTGTGTTAAGCAGACTTCTGAATGTTTTTTAAATTACCTGTGAGGCTGTTCATTAAATCAGAGATTATTATAGCAGATGGAACGTTAAAAATTGATCTGTGTTTCTCACAAACACAGTTAATCTAAACCAGCTGCTGCTTCCTTTTGTACCTATGTCTTCTAACTTTGCATCCTCATAAAAACACACCTTCAGTGAAGAAGCTGGTGGCATAGCATGTCGACCTTCCAGAATGCCAAAAGCTTCAGCACATTGTTTTTAATGAGTTTTGGCTTTATATATTATTTTAAGAAGCGGCTAATTCACTGTATTTCATGCTTTTAGTGTGCCCCTTTATATTATAAGTTTTTATGTCTACTTAGTTCTTCCCCCTTTAAATAGTTCGGATGAATAAAAGTGGAAGATTTTCCACTTTAAAAGTGGAAGATTGCACAGAGTAGCTCTTTATTATGATGTCATTTACTTGCTATTTGAGGGAGCCACAAATGTTGGCTTTTAAATCTACAAAATAGTGCAATTGGCCTTGTTTCATTAAATTCTTTCTATAAGTGAAGAATTTTCTATATCCTTCTTTAAAACTTAAACAGCTCCTGCAGAAAAAATGGACCATGGTTATCCAAAAATGCCTGAGGTTATGGTTTTAAAAATGTATATGATGCATAACTGTGTATTTCTTAAATGCGTGCTTGATTTTTGATAGTTGTATCTGATTATGTGTGACTATTCCATGGCTTCCTCTGCAGCTCCAGGGTTGTGCTGAGCTTAGGAAGCCCCAGCCATAGTGGTCTCTTTTTTTTTTTTTTTTTTTTTTTTCAACCTCCACCTTCCAGGTTCAAGCGATTCTCCTGCCTCAGCCTCTTGAGTAGCTGGAATTACTGGCTAATTTTTGTATTTTTAGTAGAGCTGGGTTTGACCATGTTGGTCAGACTGGTCTCGAACTCCTGACCTTGTGATCCGCCCACCTCGGCCTCCCAAAGTGCTGGGATTACAGGTGTAAGCCACTGTGCCTGGCCTCATAGTGGTCTTCTTGCTGTTCCTGGAACCTACTATGATTATGCCCACCTCTATGAGCCTTACACTTGCTAGTTCTACTTCTGGAAATTTTGAAATTTGAAAACTTAGTTCTTCCATTCATTCTATCATTTATTGTGTGCCCAGAAACGTGAATGCTTTTTTTTTTTTTTCTGGACCCTAGATGGGTTGGTGCTACAGGAAGGCAGACATAGTCCTTGCCCTCATGAAATTTGCAGTCCACTAGGGAAGACAAGACACAAATCAAATAATCACATCAGTGAATGTCAAAAGGCAGCTGTGACAATTGCTACAGATGTGTGGCCCATGCATTGGGTTAGAGAACTCTCAGAGATGGTGCCAGGTAGAACTATGTGAAATTACAGATTTTCAGTCATTTTTGACATAAAAATAAAGACAGTTCAGATTACATTTCACGTTTGACCCTGAAGTCACAGCAAGTTCTTGAGCAGAGAAGCACATG